CCCCAAATTTAACTCTAACCTTTGCTCATTTGTCTTGAATTAGCATCTTGGCTCTTCCCAGTCTACATTGTGCCAGCTCATGGCATTGAGGTCTCTAAGCCTTATTTCTCCTCAGCTTAAAAGTAGCACATTAAATTGCTCTTGAACTCCAATACCCAACACTAACCTCCCAACAGATACCTTACTCAGCTTACCTTAGACCAGCAGTTCTCAACCTGTGGGTCGCGAACCCTTTGTAACAATGAAAATACATCCCGCGTTATCAGATATTTACAGTATGATTCATAACAGGAGCAAAATCACAGTTATGAAGTAGCAACGAAAATAATTTTATGGTTGGGGGTCACCACAACATGAGGAACTGTATTAAAGGGTCACAGCATTAGGAGGCATTAGGAAGGTTGAGAACCACTGCCTTAGACCCTCCCCAAAAGATCAGGATTGTTATTAGGTCCAGACAAATCCCAAGCTCTTTAATTTTTTAAATCATTTTTGTTTTATTTTTTACCCAAAGCCTACTTTTCTAAGCAGTTTTGGATCAAGCCCTCATTCTGGCTTCTCTGATCTTCTGCTTGGGCTGCTTAGGAAAAGACATCTGTGCACAACAGTGGTGAAACAGACGCAGACCACTGACTTCCCTTCCTCCATGTGGCTTTGGCAATCCTTGAGTTCACTTCTAGTCTATTCCTTCTTCTAAGTTCCTTAGACATTACTTAGACATTATTCCTACATTTTGTCACTCTCTTTGAGTCTTGCTTTGGTTCTCTTACAACTCTTACAACAGGTGACCTGGACTCCTAAGTCATCTAAAACATGAAGGCTCTTAAGTTTAAATGCTCCCCAAGGACAAACCTGCGGGTTCATACCTGACCCCCCTTCCTTCCCTCTGTTCTGACTAGAAGAGGCCGATTCCCATCTGTACCCTCCAGTTCTTCCCTGTGCGTTTTGCATAGTTCAAGAACAATGAAACGAATACCTAGAGACCCACAATATACCTTCGCAGTACCAAAACCTTATCATCTAGTTTTCAACAGAACCAGCTCTTACGAAAGTCCTTCTGATTGTCAAGATCATTGGATTTTCTTGAATGCTCATTTCTTCCCCAAACTCCCCTGGCTCTCCTCTATTCTCTAAACTTTCTTCCTCTCTTTTTTTCCCCCGAACCTTCTTTTTTCTCACTGTTCCTTGAGTGTTTTCTGTTTAGCTTTCTTCTCACGACCTTTCTTTTCTCTGGGTAACTCTGTTACCATGTCTTTACACACCATCTGATATGCTGTGATGCACAAAGCTGTATCTTGCTCTTGACTGCCTGCTCTAGATGTCTCCTGAACCTCTCAACCTAGGAGTTCCTCAGTCAGTTCTAATGCAACATGTTTAAAATTTAACTTCCACTTCCTACAAACTTCTCCTCTTCTTGTATTTCATACCCTGGTTAATGGCATTGACATCTGTTGTCTTCAAGTCGGAATACACGGAGCCATTAGTTAGATTCTGCCTCTTTCACTCCTTTCTCCCTAGTAATCACAGAAACTCACATTTAATAAGCATCTAAAATACGATCATACATGTTATAAATGTTCCACGTGATTTATTA